CTAATCCTTGAATCTCAAGCTGAGCAAGCATCTTGAATTTCCATAATCCAAAATCTCCTTTTCCATCAAATTTCTCTATCTCAAATTTTCCTCGAGTTGGATCCATCTTGTTAATTGATACTGTGATTCACCTATCACCTACAATCAACACAGAAAGCAGCTCGTAGTGATCTAAACTCAAGACTAGCTAGATTCTTAGTAGATCTGAGACTTAATTGAAATAGAAACAACCTGATATACTCCGCGATTGAATTCGATGACGATCACCGGTGATTCTCACCGATCGTCTTCTTGATCCTCCTCTCCTTTGCTCTGCAACCAGAGCTCTGATACCAATTGTAGAAGTATCTGTCTAGATCGCTCACTCTAATCTCTCTCTTGTTCGTAATCTCTCACTCGTTTCTTATGACTATCTCTCTGTTTCAGGTTCGCGATTCCGTTAACAGTTTAAAGATCTAAAGAAAGACGAAGAAAGCAAAAGACACAAGCGACGTTTTAGAGTTCCCTGTCAATAGACTAGGTACATCTCCTTCAGGATCGGTGCCTGGAATCCACTAGATCTCACAGAATACAAAGCTCAAGCTCACATACAACAATGGCGTCTCACTCTCTCTCGGAATCTTTTTGAGATTAAGAGAACCACCAAGTTGTTATGGACGTTACACAGAATATATTCCTCTGTATCGCACTTCACCAAAACACAAGGTAAAGCCGACTTTTATCTCCTTGGGCCTTTCATTAACTTTGTCCCATTACGTATATACCCGCTGTAGCCTGATAACTCATATTTGGGCTTCAGATGGACTTGCACACGAGTGGATCGAAAACCATTTCTCACAACAACAAATAGCAAAAATGAAAAATAAGAAAGAGAAATAGAACGTCATCAACTTGTTGGAACTCTTTTTACATTTATCAAATACATCACTGCTCATATAATTTAAATATGGTCTTATGTATTTTGTGGGAACAAAGAGTATATCAACATTTTGATGGCCACATAACATATTGTCATTTTGTGTTACCATTTAAACTTCAAATTATGTTGTCAATATCATTGAAAATTTAATTAAAAGTTTAACTGTAATAAATATTAAAATAATATTTTTTATAGAATTTAGAAAATATTTAACCAATACTATGTTTATAAATGATGTTTCTACTCGAAGTAAATAAAGAATTACCCATTGAAAACCCATTATGTATATGTTTCTTTGAATGCAGTTTTCTCCAATTTTTATACATGTTACTTTCTCTGTTTCATCTGTTTGCTTACAATCTCTCTCTCTCTCTCTCTCTCTCTGTAGGATAGTGACCTCTGCAGCACATCCATTGAAAATTTTCTAAGAAGCTGTCAGAACAAAGATTGTTTCTCTAGCTGTCATCTTGCTGTAAGGAACTAAGAGATAGGGAGAGTTTCTCAAGCTGGAAGCTTAATTCTGATAACCGATGCAGAGGAAGTTACTCTACAGTTTAAGCCACCAGATGTGGATATTGCTCATGAATGTTCCTCATGCACTGTTGTCAGGCTGCTTCTAGGAAGAATGGTCATGATAACTTCTTGTACTCTCCAAATGCTGCTGAGCTGTCTGAAGACGATATTACTCATTTTCAGTCGCATTGGATAAGAGCAGAATCTGTTAGTGTCAGAAATGTTCTCGAGAAGACATCTGGACTTAGTAGGGAACCGATGGTTATGTGGAGAGCATGTAGAGAAATATATTCAAAGGTTAATTGAAAAGGAGAGGCAAAAGCTGTGGATTGCTTTGACTGGTGTGAGGTTAGTCAACCAGATTCTATATCTATTTACTTTCCTAAGACAGTAAACTCATTACCATTCCTTTTCTCTTGTAGGTTGAAATAAACATTCATCAGTTTTTTATGGCTACTTAAAAGAGAGAATGCATCATAATGGTTGGCCAGAGATGTTGAAATTGAAAGATTGGCCTCCATCAACTTAATTTAAAGAGCGTCTTCCAAGGCATAATGGCGAGTTTATTTCTGCACTGCCTTTCTTTGATTACACTGATCCAGAGTCTAGTATTTTGAATCTTGCAACAAAACTTCCAGGAGAATCCTTGAGGCCAGATCTTGGACCCAAGACATACATTGCCTACGGACGGTTTCCTTGAAGATATATCTGAAACAACTAAACCAAACCAAATCAACAACCAAACGGGTACCTGAATATATAAAATTAATAAATTATAAATACATATAACATAATTAAATATATGCTTATAATTTAAAAATCTATTAAAAGAATCTAAATTATTTGAAAAGCTAAATTATTATAAAATATCCGAACTATCAAAAAGTATTTGAATATTTTTATTCAAAATAGCCCAAATATCCAAAGTTTGTATATGGATCATCCTAGTTATTCAATATTTTATCTTCAATACCTGATATTTAACATGAATTACCAAAATAATTATATTTCGAACCGAAAGCGGAACCAAATGAGAACTATGTTTTTTTTAGGTATTTCCCAATTTGTAGTTTTATTATTCGAACTAAACGAATCCAAAAGTACTTGAAGCAACCCAAACGGAAAATAGTATGATAGTAAATGGATCATCTAGCCCTTTATCTGAACTATTCAAACCTGAAAGGCCCAAGCCTAATTTTTGTAATGTATAATTGGTTTGATTCCTATTTAGGCAGCTTTTTCCAGGTTCAGCTGGTTCTGCTATAACATAATCTCTATAATATTATTTGAGAAGTCACTTTCTTAGGTGTTGGGCTCACGTTAACTCTCACGTTGGTTGATTACTATAATACCCCTAATGAATTAAAAATACAATTAAATATTATTTCCTTTTTAAAAATTTCCAAATAACAATATAAATAAAAAGGGAACATTTATAAAATTTACAAAACTATTTAAAAACGAAAATATAAGTATATATAATATGGTTTAATAAAAAAAGGAAAGTTCACAAAATAGTAATAATTAATTTAAATATATTTTAAATAACATAAAATATACCTTTGAAGTAATAAAATACTTTATACCTATATCTTCTTAGATAAAAAAAAAATATCTGTATATAATGAGATTTCATAAAAAAAATTCACACAAAAATTATTGCTATTAGAAAAAGAAATATTTTAAAAAATAATTTTAAACAATAAAATATATATATTTTCAAAATAACTATTTTGGTATATATCTATCTATTTTATTAGATGATTACATAAAATAATCAACAAACATAAACTGATATATGTTTAACTGAATTTTTTTATAATTAGTATTATTGAAATTATTTTTTTAGTATATTTATTTGACTATAATATCTTACAATTACAGTAAAAATATAAATTATATTTTACTTATATAGTATAATTTCTCAAAAACAATCACTTTTTACTGACTATTTTAAGAGATACTAAAAATAAAACTAAAAATAAATTTAATGATAAACATCTTTTGATCAAGTAACTACACTTATTTTAAAATATCATAATACTATATAATTTAACGAGGTGGATATATTATATTTTAATAGTTAAAATTATCTGTTCTAAGAATAAGGATTCTGATTTACTTAAGTATTTTGATTATGGTTATATTAAGTTTCACAAACATAAAAACAGAAAATAACTACAATTATTTTAAAATACCATAACACTATATAATTTAACGAGGTAGATGTATTATATTTTAATAGTTAAAGTTATCTGTTTTCTTAATAAATCTTTTGATTTTTAATTTTATGTTTTTATGTTTGTGAAACTTAATATAACCATAGTCAAATACTTAAGCAAATCAGAATCCTTATTTTTAATATTATTTAAAATAAATTTCAGTTTACCATCCAAACAATCTAAAGCAAAAATTTATTTAGAATTTATAAAATATTTTAACTATTGTAAATATTGGTATGTTCAAAATCTTCTAAAAATTCATTAGTTACTTATGTATGTAATTTAGAATCAGAAACTTTAGTTTTTATTTTTTTTTCCTTCTAAGCACAAAGAAATCTTAAGTTATATATAATCTTACTAAATATACTTATATTTCTAAGATAACAACCAACATAAATGCAAATAAGATAATTAATCAAAAATTTAATATATTTAAAATATAAAGATAATAGTTGAATTCAGAGAAATATGTAGAATCCAATATATCTAAATGATAACTAAATCGACCGTAAAAACAATAAAACAGACTAAATATAACATATCTAAAATTATATATATAATTAAAGTAATTAAATATTATAATATAAATTAGACATACAAACTATAAATTAATTTAAAAATTAAAGTAAATATCAATCAGTTATTATTATATATTTATTTTATAAATATACATGCCCGTGCATGAGCACGGGAAAATCACCTAGTAAAACCTTATTTTATGTTCTTTTCCCTAGATAGATCTCGGACGAAAACTTCTTCTATATAAACCTATATTGAATTTGTGTATACTTTAAGTACTGCACTGAATTCAAATTCAGATTAAACATGGCTGTTAAATAGTGTCATGGTCGTTTTATCTCGTCTTCTATGTCATCATGAAATTAGACACAAATTCGATATAGGTTCAGCTGGTAGCTGCTAATCAATTTTTTTTCTTATTTAGGTTATGGAGAAGATAAAAGTATAAATATATAGTGGTTTTCAAGTTGGTTTGGTTTAAGTGAATAATTAATTGAATCAATTGCTTGGTTAACAAAACTAGGGTCGTTACAGAGTAGCCGTGGCCTTTCAACGTGTTCAAGTCCAGAGGAAGTTCTGATTCCCCATTCCACCAGAGAGAAATTACAAAACACCGAAGAAGAAGAAGAGCTTTAAAGTCAACTAACCCAAATCCCTAAACTCCGGTTCGTAGAAGATGGAGCGAGCAAGCAAAACCGCCTTTAGTGGCGGTGCCAGTGTGCTTTTAGATCAATGAAATGATCCGAAACACAAATACACACATATTTTTATTTATTTATTGGTAATCAAACACAAGCACACATAATTACGACAAAGATCAACAAGTAGAAAACAGAAAACACACACACACATGATTATTTTTTTATTAATAATCAAACAGATAACAAACGACAGTATCAACAAGAAGGAACACATGAAATTAAGGCAAATATATGTGTGATCAAAAGACAATCATTATAGTTGAGGCAACGGTCAAGGGCGTCTGGCTCAGTGCCTAGCACCAGCGTAGTGCTTGATGAGGGCGAGGGCATTGCTTGTAGTTTCCTCAACATTCTTTACTTTCTCTTTAATCGTAGCCTCCAACTTGCTTAGCCTCCGCCCCTGGAACTCACTCACAAGTGTCACCCCCTCTGTGAGAAGTGTGCTTCTCCACGTCTGCGGGTCGAAGCCGTTTCTCCTGCCCACTTCTTCTACTAGGTTGCTCAGACGACCCGAGATATTTTTCAACCGATGCACGGAGATTCTAAGAAACTCGTTTTTGTAGACGGTCCGCGTCTCCCGGTTCGCTAATTCTTTTAACAAGAACGCCGTTGTGTTGTTGGCTAGGTTGAGGCTTTCTTTAAGCGCGAATAGGACCAGTTCTTCTGGAATTTGGATAGTCCGTGAACGCACAAAAGGAGTCAGCGACCGGACGCACAGCTTCTGGTATTTGGTTTCCTGGCACCACGAGTCCACGTAGGCCTTTGTGTCAAATTCTTGTGCTGACGCGGAGGTAAAGATGATGTGAGGAAGCAGGGAGATGAGCAACACGAGGATGATCAGTTTGTTGTTAGCCACCATTGTGAATATGCAAGACTTGTTCTATATGTGAGCTTAAGTTACATGGATCAATGCTATAATAAGTCTTCTTTATATAATCCATATGCATGGCACGTGAATAGATGTGGCTGAGCCGGATTTAAGATAGTTTGAGCTGGATTTAACCGGACTCGACTTTAATATATGATCACAGATATCAACCATTGTTTTATACATGTAACAAGATCCACGGTATGAAACCTAATCAAATTTTCAATAGCTTTTTTTTAATGATATATATACATGGTTATGCCTGGTAGACATTAGACACACACACACACAATAATAGTTCGTGGCCGACGGGTGGAAAAAAAAAAATCTCGTGGGCGACAAGATCAAATATTCAACACCCTTCTTTTTTTTTTGAACAATAATTCAACACCCCATTTTCTATATTTTAACATTCCACTAGATTTTGACCCGCACTTAGAAAATGCGGATTTATTTTGGAAATTAAATAAATTCGTCTAAATAAATTTTTATATAAAATAATGTATAGATTTATATACATTTATCCTGGTAAACCATACCTTACAGAATTGAAAAAACACAAAAGCAAAATTAAACCAAATTTCATAAATAATCAATCATATCATATATCTCTGGAACCGAAAATAATAACCGAACCGAGAACCAAATGGATACTTTAAATTTTTAAATATAAATTATATACCTACAAATGATAATTATATAATATCTAAATACTAAGTATTCTAAAATATTATTTATAAACCAAATTAGGCAAAAAATGAATTATCAGAAGATTTTCTATTCAAAGTATTAAAAATATTCAAATTTTCTGATATTTAAAACGCATAATAGATCACATCAGTCGAATATGTTTTTAAAATAAATAAACATATCCTAATTAAATTAGTCTTTCTGACTAATTCCATTTAAATCTCCAACCCGTTTAAACCCATTTGATTTTAAAATATAATAAAATCAATCATTTAGTTTATGTAGAAGAATGTAATATCAAATTTTAATAATTGATTCCACGTAATTAATCAAATCAATGTTTCATACTTGAATGGTTTTTAGTTGAGTATTTGACATTAACGCTTTTAACTTTCAATTTATATAAATATGTTAGAGTATCATGGAGATTTATTATTATAGTAATTATATAATAGATTATTAAAAGTAATAGATGAGTTTATGTAAATTACAAAATATTTATAAAATATTTATGTAGTTATAGAAATATAGGGAAAGAAAAATAATGTTAGTCTAATGAAAGGATGCAACAACCTTGCATCAGTATATTTTTTGAAATGTACCAATTTAATAGTAAAAATATTTTTTTTTATTTTCCGCCCGTAGGACGGACCTATCTTAATAATGCATGTATATTTGAAATCAAAATCTACATTTTCTTAATCATCACAAAATCTCGTTCCAAACTTACGAAATATGTAATAGTTTTTGTTAACAAAATCCTGGTATATCTTTTGAATTTAATAGTATTGATATCTTGGAGATTTTGTTGTTACCTATAAAATAGGAATTTCACATTAAATTTTTCTACCCATATTGTTACATATACAATCAAAAATTTCACAAACCATATCATTATTTTTCATATTTTCTAAGGTCATAAAATATCAGCTGAAAACTATTTGAATGGCTGGTTGAAGACATATTTTTGCATACTACTTCCAAAGATTTTACATAAGTCGGCCTTCATTTTCATGGTGATTTTGTAAAAACATGAAAAATATTATACAATAAAGAAACAGTTAATGTTTAAACATACACGTATAAGGTTATGGATTTCAGTTGAAAAAATGGTCATGGATTGCTTTAGTGTATCACCTGATATGTGGAATACGTTTATATATTAGGTGAAATGTTTAGAGTTAAGAATATAGTAAAATTTAAAAACTATATTGTATTGTGTATATCATTCTCGTTCGTGTAGGACATGTTATGGTGTACTTAATAAACATGGATATGTTGTAGAGAAAGATGTGGCGTACTAATCATGGTTAGAGAAATATTAGGTTATGTATTGTTAATAATTAAATATTATGGTAAGACTAAAATATTGTTAGTTAATAGAAAGGTCCAATAACTTTGTATAAATAGATTTTTTTAGATTCTTTCTCTTTTAATAGTATAGATATCATATCTTTCTCTTCTACATAATCATTCTACGTTTATTCAACATCTATATTATAGAATGGTTTTATTTTAATTTTTTAAATAAAACCATACCCTTTTATATTATTCAACATAAACATGGTTTTATTTTGAAAAACAAAAATCAACGTCATATCCTTTTATATTATCTTGTTATATAAAGCTTGGTTTTTCAAAGTTACTAATTAACAAAATTGTGACACATGGCAATTCTATATTTATGATTGTGACAAGTGTTAAATTAATTAATAATTAATATATATATATAGATAATAATAAAAAAGAAATTTGTTAAAAAAATAATTAAAATATTAGTAATAGTAAATTACATTTTTAAAATCCTAAATAAAAGATATTTACAAAAACAAAATTTGGTTTTGCTTAAAAAATAATTAGAAATATTATATTTTAGTAATTTTCCATTTTTGAAATCCTATATAAAAGATATTTATAAAACAAATATTTGATAGTAATTTTCCATTTAATACTGTGACAAGTATTAAAATTCTCATGATTAAAAAAATATATACTAAAAAAATAAAAAAGAATTTCGAATATATTAATTTAAAAATTCTTTAAAATTAAAAGAAAAAGAAGCTAAAAGTTTTTAAATGTAGTTTTCCTTTTTAAAAATCCTAAAAAAAGATTTAAAATAAAAATTGAATTTTTAAAATAATAACTTTAAATATTTTTTAAAAGTAAAAAAAGTAAAGAGTGTTTAATTGTAATTTTCCTTTTTCACAAATCCAAAACAACAAAATATTCGTAAATATATTATTATCAATTTTCTTTTCTAAAATCCTATAGAAAATAATATTTGATAGTAATTTTTATATTAAAATTTTTATATAGTAAAAATATATCATATCAACAAAATCTATATACAAAGGTAATGAAAATGATTTTACAGATAAAAGTAATTTTATAAATTATTTAATAGCATTTTTTCTAAACCGTTATATTTTAAAAACATTTAGACAAAAAAATGATTTGCAAAATAATATATTTGATACTAATTTTCCTTTTTCAAAACTATGAAAAATATATTTGAAAAAAATGTTTTATAGTAATTGTCCGTTTATAAATCTTGAACATAAGAGAATTATTAAAGAATGTTTAATAGTTTTTTAAATCCTAAACAATTTTTTTTTGTAGAATAGTTATTCAACCTATTTTTATGTTCTATTTATCTTAAAATAATTATGATTTTGAGTATACATCCTAAGATAATAAATGAATTTTGAAGATATCAATTTTAAAAATTGTTTAAAAGTAAAAAAAAAACTTATAAGTTTTGAATTCTAATTTTTCTTTATACAAATGCTAAACAAAATATTAAAAAAAATAAGGATTTTCAAAATATTAATTTAAAATATTGTTTAAAAGTAAAAAAAAAAAGTGAAGGGTGTTTAATTGTAGATTTCTTTTTTACAAATCCTAAACAAAAAATATTCGCAAGAAAATTTATTTACTTATTACCAATTTTTATTTTCTAAAATACTAAAAAAATTATTTGATGATAAATTTCCTTTTAAAATTTTTATATATGTTAAAATAAGTCATGATTAACAAAATTTATATATTAAGATAATGAAAACGATTTTTACAAGTAAAAGTAATTTAAAAAAATAATTACTAACACTTTTTATAAACCATTTTATTTTTTCAAAAAAGTACACAAAAAGATATATAAAATAATTTAGTTGATACTAATCTTCGTTTTCCAAAATCCTGGAAAAGGGTAATTAAAAACATATATTATAGTAATGGTCCTTTTCTAAAATTTTGAAATAGTAGTTTTTCATAGTAATTATTTATGTTCTTTTTCTTTTTAAACTGATGATGATTTTTAATATATATACTAGGATAATAAAAGCGAAATATGAAGATATTATTTTTAAAAAAAAACTAAAAAGAAAAAATGAAAAGTGTTTAATTGTAATTTTAATTTTCACGAATCTAAACAAAAAATATTTAAAATAATAAAAAAAACAAATTTAAAAATATTAATTTTAAATACTGTGTAAAAAAAAAGAAAAAGAGTGTTTAATTGTAGTTTTCTTTTTTGAAAATCCTAAACAAAAATTACAAATTCATAAACTGGAAAAAATAAAAGAAATTGTTTGAAATACTATAACTTGAATGCATTTTTAACTACATAAAAATAAACCCACAAAATCTGAATTTAGGATTTAGTGTTTAGAGTTTAATATTTAAGGGATGAAATTAAGTTTATGGAATTATAGAAAAACTCCAGATGATATATAGGATATTAAATGTCACTATTTAATATGAAATTAGAGGAATTTCCTAGTTACCTCTTGGATTGTCTTCTTCGACCTTATTATTATATATAATAAAATAATTTGTTTATTTATTTTAAAATTTATTATCACAAAATTAAGAAGTGACATCCAATCTTATCACGATGTATAATAAAATATGTTTTTATTTATTTTAATATTTATCATCACAAAATTAAGAAATGACAATTGTATGATATTGTCATTGACTTGATTGATCTTATTTAACTTTCAATTTTTTTATTTATATCACTCTAATTCTCAATTCAAGCTCAGTTTGTTTTAAACTTTTAGGTATGAGTATTTTCTATGGTCTTAGGTACAAAGTTATAAAAAAATTTACTTATGTGCCATGATTATTAAATATTTATATCAACCAAAATTTATATGGATAAACAAATTCTAAAATCTGAAATAAATCTCACACAACATATACAAAATAATCCTAAAATATAAAATAATTTATTATTTTCCTTTGTAAATTTAACACATCAAATAAAATTTGTGCTTATTAAAATAAAAATACTAACCAAAACTTTTATGGAAAAATGAATTTTTAATTTCTAAAATAAATCTCATACAACATATGCAAAAAATTATAAAACTATAACATGAAATTATTATTTTCTATTTTATAAATATTAAAACATCAAATAAAACCCGTGCAACGCACGGGTCCATTTCTAGTTTTTTATAATCCTTATTTATAAGTATCTTAAAAATCTGCCACAAAACATATTTGTAGTAATAAAAGTTTATTGGTGAATAACATCAATATTAAATCAAAAATAATATGTGCCCAAGTACAGTGAATGTGTCCCTATCTATAGAATACAGAAAATGATGAATTTTAGTATAGATTTTAATTTCGAGAAAAATAATATTTATTGTAGTATAGTTCATTGAAATAATAAGGATGAACTAAAGTCTATTTATTTCTTTTGGAAAAGAAAGGTCGTCCAATTTTATTTACTTCTTTTAACCATATATATGTAATTTTTATGATTGGTTAGAATACTCAAAACGCCAAAGAAGAAGAAGAGTTTTTAAAGTCGACTCATACAAATCCCTAACCAGCCTTTAGTGGCAGTGCCGGTGTGCTTTTAGATCAGTGAAATTATCCGAAACACAAACACACACATATTTATTTGTTTATTTATTTATTGGTAATCAAACAGAGAACATACGTAAAATTAATTACGACAAAGATCAACAAGTAGAAAACAGCAAATTATATATGTGTGATCAAGAGACAATAATTAGTTGAGGCAACGGTCAAGGGCGTCGGGCTCAGTGCCTAGTAGCAGCGTAGTGCTTGATGATGGCGACAGCATTGCTTGTGGTTTCCTCAACATTCTTCACTTTCTCTTTAATAGTAGCCTCCAACTTGCTCAGCCTCCTTCCCTGGAGCTTACTCACGAGAGTTTCCGCGTCTGTGAGAACTGTGCTTGTCCACCTCTGCAGGTTGTTTCCGAGTTTTATGCCCCCATCTCCTTCGGCTCCGTTGCTCAGCGCCGATAATATTTCGGTCAGATCTTTCACGATAGCTGTCAACAGAGACGCGCTGACACTAAAAAACGCGTTGAATTGGGGCCTCAGCGTTTCGCTTAACAAGAACGCCTTTGTGTTGTTGGCTAGGTTGAGGCTTTCTTTAACCACGAATAGGACCAGTTCTTCTGGACTTTGGATAGTCCGTGAACGCACATAAGGAGTCAGCGACCGTACGCACAGATTCTGGTATTTGGTTTCCTGGCACCACGAGTCCACGTAGGCCTTCGTGTCAAGTTCTTGTGCTGACGCGGAGGAAAAGATGATGTGAGGAAGCAGGGAGATGAGCAACACGAGGATGATCAGTTTGTTGTTAGCCACCATTGTGAACATGATGCGAGACTTGTTCTATATTTGAGCTTAAAGTTACATGGATCGATGCTATAATAAGTCATCTTTATATAATAGTTATACATATGCATGTGAATAGATGTGGATGAGCTGGATTTAAGATTACTTGAGCTAGCTAGAAGGTTATAAGCACGCCGGTAAGCAAGCACTAAATCAATTGTAAACTTAAATCACTATCTTCGAGATTTGAAACTTGGATTTCTTGTAATCCGCAAGAAATTGCATAGTCTAGGATCTAAGATGAACTTCCAATTTAAAACCAATTTGTGATAAGTGGAGTGACTCATATAATCTTATATACTAGATAGATGATGGCTCTTTTGCGTCAATCTCGGAATATTCGGATAAAGATTAATAGACCATGGTTCTTTTGCGTCAATCTCGGAATATTCGGGCAAAGATTAATAGACCGATTTTAGGCTGGATCGATAAGGATCGGGTTGGACTTGCGTGGATCGTGGGCGCATATATCATATTAAGCTAGATGAGCAATTCCAACTTGAAACCAATTGATGATAAGTGGATTAACTCATCTATCTTATATACTAGATATAATTTCTTTCAACTTTCGATGTGGGACTTTTATCTCTAATAATAGAATACGGTGCTTCTGTAGAAGCCGGAAAACCGGATCGACATAGACGATATAAGAAAGACGGGGTTAAGGAAACAACGATTATATGAGACATGGAGGCGAGATAAATCTCTTTCCTTAACTCTTAATATTCGCTCCGTAGTGAGACGAAACTGTACGAATATTGAGTCCCAGGATACAACCATGGCAGACGAATCACGCTTCACTCGTGAAA